TGTATATATGTATTTTCTTTTAAGAAAAACAGTCTCGAGATAAAAGAAAAACAAAAACGTAGATGTAAAATGTACAATTTATAAACGTGTCACCATTATCGAATTACATTTGAATATTCTAACGGCCAAGAAAACGTACTTCTCATACGTAAACAACGAAAGAAAAACTGTTTTTAATTTGTCGCTTCGGATCGGGGCCACGAGTTATAGAATAAAACTTGATTAATGAAAACGCTTCTCTAGTCTTCAGATTATAGATACAGGACATGATAAACGTGTGTGCCTATGCACATATATACTTGTCGCTCATATATTGAAAAAAAAAAGGTTTATATACATACACATAGGATCTATATATAAAATTGATATGCTTGCAAATGTATTTCATACCGATGTCAATTTTTGATAAAATATTAGAAACAGATCACAAAATCATACCTGTATAATAACATTTAGTGATAAAAAACACAAAATATCGACTGTGCTGAATTCTTTGCGGTATTTCGTTTTTCCTTTATTTCATTTTAATATCGAACGAACTAGATATCGGTGTTAAATTGATACAATCATTTTCACATGTTACGGCAAGTACCTCGCATATGCAAGATACATTTTTTCTTTTTATTGCGGATACCAAGATCTGTATCTAATAAAACTTAATTATCTCTCAGTGTATAAAAAAAATAATTGAAATATCTATTTATCGAGACGTATTTGCAACTGAATTTTTTTCAGGAATTATACAGAACGCAGTACAATATCGCCTGATGTTCAATTTACGACGAAGACAGAAACTTCGTTATAATTGCACCTACAAAAATTACAAAGATAAAAAAATCTAAGGATAATAAAAGAAAGAAAGAATCGTATAGACAATTTATATGCATTGTTACTACGTATGATCATTATAGTTGTACCGAAGAACGGATCGATTTCAAGTCTCTCAAAGACTTACCACTATATTCCAACAAGGGATATTCTGTTCTTACTTCGTCAAGTAAAAACACGCGATGAGACCATTTGTGTCACATAAATACTATCAACGTTTGACTAAATATCCATATGAATTTTAGTAAATGAATATTAAACTGGTCTCCAGTTGAGGGTACAAGTATCAACGATGCCAAATGAAATTTTACAAGACATCGATCACTAGGAAATTCTTTCGTGTTTTCGTACTATCGAAACGGACAATAAATTTTCCTAACGTGCATGCTTCGCGACGTCTTGGACGTCAGCACTAAAGCAGAGCGATACCCATTCGTAAATCACGTTTCAGCCCATATCGATTCTTTCTTCGATTCGAGTATAATTAGTTTCATGTGTTTAACACCCACGTATAAATATGTACACAAAATCTCGTTACCTTACACGTTTTACCTTACACTTAATCGTTACAATGATGAACGTAAGTTTCTAGTGCATGTATGTACAGTATTATATAAAATTACTAATGCCCTGATAAGAACCAAGGCGAAATTTCTTTAAAATGTATATCAAATACAATCACAAAGTTTGTTAATAACAATTTGAATAATGCGTCAACCGAACACTTTGCTTGGACAAAGATCGTTCAGTTGGAATCGTCATCATCTGATTTTACAGCATACGATACTGGTTTACGAGCACGGCCACCAGTGGTTCTCGGCGGTGGAAGCGGCGATGTTTCACTGACGCTATCATCCTGTTCGGACTCGGATTTCTTCCTCTTCTTCTTTATCTGTACCGTTAAATGGACATTGTATTTTATTAAACTGGAATTACGTATTTCGGAAATGTGTAGTATACAGGGTGGTCCACGTAACTAGAACCACTTCGATTACTGCGTAAATGATGATTTTAGTGAAAAATGTTTCAGATAAAAGTTGTACAGTTTCAAGGGGGACATAATTTGATGTAATTAATTTTTTTGTAAGCAAATGCGTAGAGGACATACGAAGGTCAGGTTTGTTTTTTTTAACTCTTTCAGGCACACGATTTTAAAGAAAATAAAAACCCTAGTTGCACAGAATTTTTTTTAATATAAAACAAATTATATAAAAATAAAATATTAAACTGTATGACTATGAGTAACTTCAACTTTTCGAGGTGGGTTAAAATATATTCCATCGTGCATAAAAAGCCAACAAAAGGTGGGACAGTTTTTAACCCACCTAACCCTAAAGAGTTAAACGGAATTGTATATTTTTGATGACGTCAATCGATCCAACTCATAATTCTGCATACAAAAGTGTTAATCTGTTCATATAAAAAAACATGTAGTTTAGGAGATATTTTAACTTCAATTATTCGAAATGACGTAACTACAACAACTGTGATAACTCCCAAAGTATTAACTTGAGCGAAAATTGCTAGAGTTGAAACCAGCAATTTTAAGGTCATTTTCAATTTCTCAAATGGAAGTCGGATTTGTTTGTCATAACAAAATTTATGGACAACAGTAAAATAAATTCAGATAATTTTTAAAGAAATTCTACCAACTTATGTACCGAAAACTGGTTCTGCAGATGTTTGTTTCACAACCTTTTTTTTTATATCCATAACTTTCGTTATGAAAAACAAATCCAACTTCCATTTTAAAAAATTGAAAAATATAAGTGATAGAAATAAATCAAATAATTCACTATGTGGTCCCGTTCGAACCATGCAGATTTCAACTCCACTTACGTCATTTCGAGTAATTAAAGTTAAAATATCTTCTAAACTACTGGTTTTTTTTAATATGAATAGGTTAACTGTTTTGTATGCAGAATTATTAGTTGAATCAATTGGCGTAATAAAAAACATACGAACCCATTTAAAAAAAAAAACTTGACCTTCATATGTCCTCTACACATTTACTTATAAAAAAATTAATTATATCAAATTATGTCCCCCTTGAAACTATACAACTTTTATCTGAAACATTTTTCACTAAAATCATCATTTACACAATAATCGAAGTGGTTCCAGTTACGTGGACCCTCTGTATAAATGCTTCACAATTTGTATTTGCCTTCAATTTAGTCAGTTGCCACCGACCTCTGCTAATTTACTAAATTTTTTACACGATGATTTATCAAAACTATCGTACTCACGTGTTGTTTGCCGGAGAACATAGTTCCTTCCGAATCTGAATCCGAATCAACTACCTTCTTCTTCAGTTGTCTTTTCACGCCCTTCTTCCCGCCGTTTTCTGCCTTCTTTTTTGCAGAAACTAAAACATACATATACAAAAATATATAATAGATTGAATAATATGACACGGATACGTAATTCGATAGAATGGGTATCGAATTAATTTGTGACAATCTTAACCTTTTGGCGGAGGTGAGAACATTGTAGTTGAATCTTCGCTCGAAGATAAGGTGATTACTTTTTCTTGTTTATTGGAAACTGTCGCTGCTTCTTCCGACTCCGAATCGGAAGAAACCGCCTTTGTTTTCAATTGTTTTTTCGCCCCTTTTCCACCGCCGTTTTCAGTTTTCTTCTTTGAAGATACTGAAACACATCCAGCAACAGAATATAATATAAATAAAGTATATTAATAATTGGTGTTAAATTTAACATTGTTAACAGAGTTCTACCTTTAGCTGGAGGCGAAAACATTGAATCTTCGCTAGATGATATAACAGGTTTTTGTTTATCTCGGGAAGGATTACCGATTAGAGAATCAAACAGTTCTTCTGAGGTTGCTGTTATTAAAAAACAAAAAGAAGAAATAACAGTATAATGTCCGATGCAATAGAAACTTTTTTTCTTAACTCACGTTGCGGTGGCAGTGCTTTCCTGTCTATTTTAAAGCTGTCATCTGAATCGCTACTTACAGGTTTCTTTTTTCTGAAAACAGAATAATTAACGAATCGAAATGTTTTCTTACTTCCAAGCATTTACATAGTTTACGAATGGTAACTCACAGTTCGGAATCTGACGAATGATTATTGAGAAAATCATCGTCAGACAAGGATGCATCGCTCAAACTGTAGTTCTTCTTGGCTGTAACAATTCGAAAAATATTAGTCGAAGATGAAATGGCCCATACACATTAGACTTCTACCGTAAGAAATGTATCGACTCACTATTTGCGGCTCTACGCGAAGTTTTTCGTGGTTCCGGGGGAGGAGAAATACTACCAAAGTCAATGTCATCGTCAGATGCCGAATCAGAGTCGCTGTCCCTCTTTTTTTCTTTCTTCGAAATCGCCTTAAAGGATAATTTCGTTTGCTTCAATCCTAATTTCAATAAGAAATACAAACGTTTAACAAACTTCCTCGAGATCTATCTGGTTTTATTTGCAAATAATTATATGCACGCATACTTCGTTTGCCGCCAACTTTCTTCTCTCCTTTCTCTGTAGAACTGCCCAGCCTATCCTCCAAAGATTTTGCGTTTGCGTCGACCAAGTTATCAAACTCATCTTTTTCTTCCACAGATTCTTTCTTTACCTAGTTATGTTTTTTTTGCGTCAGATTTTTAAATTAGGAAACACGAAGTGAGTATTTGATTGCATGCGAGTTAGAAAATCTATGAAATTTACCCTTGGTCTCTTAATTCCTTCCTTCTTATCTTTCGACAAGGTATCTGCTCTTTCAATCTTTTTCTTTAATTCGTCATTAATCATAGGAACTATTCTACGAATATTTTCGGATGAATAGAACTTTGTTGGTGGCTTCTTAATATTTTTCGCCATTTTCTGTTCTTCCTTTCGTTCTTGTTCTTCGAGCTTCTTCATTTCATTCAACAAATTTTCTAAATCCTCCTTCCATAAAGATACAGAAGTACGATTTTGCAATCTCTTCAATTCAGCTAATTTCTCGTCCCTTTGCTTGACTAAATCGTCTTTCTTTTCTTTTGTCAAGCTCCACAATGTCATTCCTAATAGGTAATCGAAATTTTCACTTGCTAAGGCAGTAGGTGCAATAGCTGCTTCATCCTCGGCATTTTCAGCTATCTCTTCCTAATAACATATGTTGTTAGTGTGTGTGTGTCATAGGTGATAGATTTAAATAGATACAGGTTATCATTAAAGGCCCTTCTGAATGCATAATCATTTATTTTCTCTAACACTTACTTCAGCTTGCTCATGCTACATAATAATTAAGACTACCATAAATTATAACTTAACTACGGATTGTTATGCAAAATGATATTTTCTAAAACAATTCATACAGGGAAGAGCAAATTAAAAATAGATACAGATTATAATTGAAGGCCCTTTTGAATGCATAATCATTTCTTTTTTCTAACACTTACTTGAGCTTGCTCATGCTGTATAATAATTAGGACTACCATAAATTATAACTGAACTACGGATTTTTATGCAAAATACAAAGATGAGCAAATGTAGGAATTTCTTTCTTTTCTCAAGTATCACATTCTGTTCCGAATAAACGAAAAAAACTTATTGGATCTGATGAAAGTTTTACCCTTTATTGTATTTTACAAACCCCTATAGGCGATAAATGCATAAAATCTGCAGTCTAATTATAACATACAACTCCTCGAAATAAAAATCATTATAATACTTACCAAAACTTCTTCCTTGTTGAGCGCTAATTTCCAAGCGACCACAGGATCAGACTTATAGTCCCGTTTGATTAACTCAGCTATCATGTCCTTTTTCTTTTTATTTTCAATTACAATAGTACCGTCGCATTTCTCTAAAATGAATCGTGCCTGATTCGAGAGCTTGTCGGACTCTGCCTGAAGCAAACCCTCCAAATAATCTTTTCGTTTGCTGTACATATCCAATCGTACTTTATAAAAACCTTTCAATATCTGAATGATGTTCTCGTACTTTATGAGGCACTGACTTTCGTCGAACGCGCACTATGCGAAAACAAGGGTATATTCATTTCACAGGATCAAAAGTGCCTTGTGTCCTGTTTATTCGTTATAATTACACTGCGGATATTTATGCAAAATCACATTTTAGAAGGTTCGTGAAGAGAAAAAGCAAAAATAGGAATTTCTTTCTTTCCTTAAGTATCTTATTGGGTCCAAAATAAAGTAGAAAACTCGTTGCATCTGACGAAAGTTTTGCCCTTCGTTGCATTTCACAGAGACTTATAGTCTATAAATGCATAAAATCCGCAGTCTAGTTATGATTATAAACAAGATTTCTTGTTTCTTACCATGGATGTAATCGACGTCGTTGTTTGCAATTTGAACGCCTTGTGAAGGCCCTCCCGCTCCAACTCTACCAACTTATCGCGGTTCATAATCACCACAAAATGCACTGCCGTATCTGTATTGTATTCTTTATAATCTCTGAAATATCGTTTAAAGAAAACATAAATTCGTGTCTATCAAATTTTTCAGTGTTCGTACTAATAGCGACAATAATATTCACGTAATAATCGGCGGTATTTTATCAGTCCCATGCAGCATAGGCTCCAGAACATTTTCTTTGTATGTTTGCGTCCAAGTTCCGATCGGAAGTTCCGTAATTTCAACTTTATCCGGTCCTATTACGGTAATTTCCCCATTAATGACATATCTATAGTCTCCGCAAGTTTCTATCAGCCCCTTGAAGTTCTTGTAATACGGTAACTAGACAGAATATAATGAAAAATAATAAAAAAAAACACATAGAGAATATAAATATAAAAGTATAACACGTCTTTGAAAGTATTACCATTGGTTTTATATCAGTACCATCCATCATTCTGACTAAGTTTTCAATGATCTCTTTAGGATTAAAATTGGGTATCTTCGTCATCCAACCTGTACCAATGCCATCGGCACCGTTTACCAACACCATTGGTATAACTGGTACGTAGTAGATCGGTTCGATTTTCTGATTATCGTCGTATTCGTATTTTAACAGAGGTTCGTCGTGTTTGTGAAATATAAATTTTGTCAATGGACTATGATTGTAAGGGGAAAAAGAAATTGGTATTATTAACTGTTTTCTTTAACTCTTCACGAAATGTGTTTGCGTACAAAATATATATAAATACCTGAGCATCGTGAATATGTAACGAGGACTCGCTGCATCTTTTCCACCCGTTAGTCTTGTACCGAATTGACCATTAGGCAGGAGTAGATTAATATTATTGCTTCCTACGAAATTTTGCGCAAGCCCGATAATAGTCGACATAAGTGACATTTCACCGTGATGATACGCCGAATGCTCAGCCACAGAACCAGCCAACTGAGCAACTTTCACTTCACGTTTATCATTCCGTTTTAAACACGTGAACAGAACTTTCCTTTGTCCAGGCTTAAAACCGTCCATCATACTTGGTATCGAGCGTACGTTATCGTAGTTACTGTATAAAACCAATTCAACGTTGATGAATTCAGAATACGACACAGTACGCGTGTCTTTGTGGTACAGGTAACGCTCGGCAAGACCGATTTCTTTTCTCCGTTTCGTTTCATCCATGTGATTCGTTAACCAATCTTTACGCTGATCGGCACACTTTCGACTGAAGGCCATGATAATATTCTGATCGTCTTGATCGCCCCCATATTTGAACTGAATTCGATGTCTAGCCATATTTTGGAAATACTCTTTCGCTTCCTTAGCAGTGGAAGTACCCAAACCTATACGGAGAAAAGAAAACGCTGTAATATGATACAAAATAAACACAACGAAGAACATTCTTATAACAGAATCGAAAATTAAAAACCTTTGTAGTATTTGATTTTATAGGTATGAAAATTATTCGTTTCCGACTTCCACTTTTGGAATTCAGGTAGTGAGAAGAAACTAAATACTTCGCTTCCCTTCGTTGCTTTTACAATAGGTGTAATGAATTCCTCCACGAAGTTCATTCGTAATAATGTTGGCCAGTTGTGGTGAATAAAGTTAATTAACAATCCTTTGATATGAGAACCATCCTATAGATATACAAATATAATAATTTTCAGTGTGCAACACATTTACTCGCGTATTAAATCTACTATTTAAAAAAGTTCACCTGATCTTGATCTGTCATTATCATCAGCTTTCCATAACGTAACGTCTTTATATCCTCCCGACTTTCATATTTCTTCTTATACTGAAGACCGAGAATTTTGATCAGATTATTTATTTCAGCGTTTTCCAAAATTTGTTTATGCGTGGCCTCTCGTACGTTTAAAATTTTACCTGAAATACATTTTCATATGTAATAACACAAATAATCCCATATACAGCAACGTCATCAGCATTATTTAATTTTATATGTATTTACCTCTTAGAGGAAATATACCGTATTTGTCTCTACCAATTGCTGACAAACCAGACACAGCCATGGTTTTGGCTGAGTCTCCCTCAGTTAAAATAAGCGTGCATTCCAGCGATCTAACAGTACCAGCGTCATTAGCATCTTCTAATTTTGGTATCCCTAAAACATTATACGAAATATCGCTGAATCTAGAGTTTTATTTATTAACACTATAATAAATATATATTATACGCGATATTACCTTGTAGTTTTCTCTGTTTTGTTTTAGGGCCCAACTTTTGTAATTGACTGTCAGCTTTAAATTTCGCCCAAGTTAAAACAGCTTCGACAATACCCATTTTAGTTACCTGTGTATCAATTCAAATTCGAAATATGAATTGCCATGGAATAGAAAAATTTCAACGGAATATTGAAATTTAATATTTACAGAGCTAAAAAATTTATCAGTAAGTGTGCACTTTGATCCAAAACTTTTCGCCTGCAATGTCATATTCTCCTTAGTTTGCGAATCAAACGTGGGATTATTAATCAGGCAATTGACGAATATCCATAGATGATTTTTTATTTGAAACGGTTTAATTGGCACTCCGCCCTTGTTTTTCTTCTTTAGTGTTTCTGTTAATTGCTTGACTATTAATTCTGTAACATGATCGACGTGCCGTCCACCCTGCGTATAACAAGAAACATTTAAAGAAATTTTTTTCTAGCATACAACAGTACTGCAATTTTTTTTTTCCAGTGTTTACCTTTGTAGTTGCTATACTGTTTACAAAAGACATTTGCTGGAAGCCCCTGTCAGATAAAGTAATCGCTACTTCCCAACGAGGCCCACAAGCCTCGTATATAACTTTCAAAGGATTACCCATATCATCTTCTTTGCCTTTAACGTACAACTCAACATAATCCTTAAAATTTTTAACACGGATTCTAGTTCCATTGAGAAAGACTTTAACACCTCTACTAGAGGCCGCTATGTCAAAGGCTCGTCGAGACATAAGAGCAACTATGTCGTCATCTAGAGACTGCATTTTAAATTTTGACAAGTCCGGTGAAAATACAACTTTCGTAAAATCTTCTCCAGAAAACTCCTTGATTCTAGGTTCACTCGCAAGCCCCATATTCTTACTCCATGTCTGCAGAAATAATTATATTACATATATACTTAGATCAGTTATAAAAAAAAAACATGAAACAATGTCTGTTTCGAATAGATTCTTGAGCGATAATTACTTGTTTTAAGCATTTCTTGTATTCTTTAGATGCAGTTTCTACTGTAAAACGATGACTGAATATATTACAGAGTTTGGCACCATAGCCATTTCTACCACCAGTTACTTTTTCCTCTTCGTCGTCGTAATTAGACGATGTCAGTAAGTGCCCAAATATCATTGTAGGAACAAACATATTTTCCTCTTTATGAATTACCACTGGAATACCCTTACCATTATTCCACACCGACACAACATTATTTTCTCTGCAAATTAAATTTATTCATTAGCAATCTCACAATTGACATTTTATTTATTACTAATCTGAAAAAGAATGATTAATTTTATAAATATTATATAAGAAGAAGAAGAAACATTACCCATACTTACTGATCTATTTCAATTTTAATCATATCCATTTTGGGGTCCCTTTGTTTATTATCTGCCGCATTTACTAAGATCTCATCGAATATTTTATATAATCCAGGAACATATTTTATTTCCCTTTGAATCATTGCTTCTTTTTCCTTGTCGTAGATCCACATAAGTTCCGTGACTGGTTCAACAGATCCAATGTAAGTGTCGGGACGCAGTAAAATATGTTCCAACTGAGACTTCTTCTGATATATGCCTTCGATCGTTTTCTTTTTCGAGGCATTGTCACCTCCTCCATTTTCCACCGCCTTACTCATTTTGTGGAAAATCTCAGACCTTATGTGATAACTATACAAATAAAAATAGATTTTAATCTGACAGGTACATACATGAATATAATGTACATGTAAACAAAATTCAACATAGAATCTAAAGTTAATATTATTGTACATACGGCAAATAAGGTTCATGATATCTATTAATTTCACATTACATTTGCATTGCAGAAGGTCTTTAATATTATATACAGAAACATTGAAAACCATACATATAATACTCATAACAGTAATAGAAATATTCGATTTTCATATTATGAAGTTCAATCGAGACATGTGCACAATTATAGAAATTATGATTTTTTATACTACTAAATAAAGTAAGAAATCATGAACCTAAAACATCCTTAATAACTATATGTTTGATTAAAGTTCTGCGACTAAAGCATTGTACGGTAGAATTTCTTTCCACTTCCAACTAAAAAAGATTTAGAAGATCTGAACATGTTAGACATAAAGATTGTAAGTTCATGTAAAGAAAGAGTTGCTCGTTTAATTTGTCAATATTTTCTTGTTTGTTTTACTTTTCTTTTCCATGGGATTTTAATGAATTAAATTAATAAAATCTGAAGTCACTAGAGGAAATCCACTACTTTTAAACAAAATATGTTATTATTGTGTACATTATTCCTATTACATTAAAACGTACAACTTAAAATGCATATGAAATTATGAATTTACAAACCGGTTATGTTATCAGTGAAAGGTCAACATTCAAAAAGCACAGAATACGACTTTTTACCCATTTGGATCATGGATGATTTAATCATGGATTAACTTTGAATAATACTAACAACACTTATTTGGATAATACTAAAGCTTTCAATCACGGATGATTCAATTAATAAATATTGAAAAATGGATTGCAAAACTCCCTTTACACCGAAAATTATAGGTGATATTTACTAAAACATTTTCGTACCCGAAATAAGTTTTGCTAATATGGCGGGAAAACATCCTCTATGTAATTGGCCAGTATGGAAGAAGACGCCAATTTAATATAAACATTTACTTTTCGAATATTATAAATCAGTCTACACGCACTGAACCCGTTTTCGGAAAACAAATAAAAAATAAGAATTCTAAAGGAAAATTAAACTACGAACTCATTCTTATAGCCTACCTCTAGTAGAATTGTGATAAAAATACGGAGTAGCGTCGGCAACAGAAACTTTTCACAGCAATCGCGTCCCAATTCGGATTATGGTACAATAGTGGTGTACCACAATCCATATATGATTAAAATTAATTACTTAATGCGTATACTGTTCTGCTTTTTTAAGTCGCAACTGGTAATTAAATAATTGATCCCACAGAAAAAGTATTTCTCTTGTCCCACACTTCGACCAAAGCTACCTATCCGACGGTAGTGATACAACTTCCCATTTCCAAGCGGCTCAGTCACTGTGCTACCATCGACACCGTTCCAAAAGACAACCGAAAATTGACAAAATACACTAAAAGTACATTTCCTATTGGTTGAACGATCTTACAACGTCTTTAGATTTTTGTTTAAAAAATACACGTAATGTGCTCCAATTTAATTCAATAGAGGATTGGAAATAATTTTATTGTTTCACAAGAGAGCTGCGTTTACGAATTAAGAGGATACTTATAAAAAAAAATAAACTGCAAATATATTGTGACAGGATTATTGTTTTCCTAACTTATAATCGTTTTGATCTAAAAACATGTTATACTTACGTATTTTTGCTTCGGTTTATTTATATTTGTTAACCGATTTAAAAATAGTAATTAATCCCTGATGTTTTCGTAATACACAATGGGAGGTTCTCATTAAAGAAATTTTGTTTCATAAAGTTTTGTTTGCACAAAATTTTATTTTCTTTATTTTTAAATTATCATAAAAAATCTATAAGTATGTGAAGTGTAATTAACACATAATGATACTTTCTGTTATAAGAATATTTTTTACATATAGTAGATTTTATTACTTCATAATTATACTTTGACCTCTAACCATTACCAAATATCTTAAAATAAATCTGTATTAAACAAAAAGTACTTTCGTTCTGAGGATAATAAATATAATTCTTTTTGGAGTGGATTTTGATTTGTTACACCATACCACATAGAGTCGGCTGTGACCATACTTGTTTATACACAGAAACAAAGTTTATATGAATAAATTATTTGTACAAATTAGCTAACGTGAAATTAATAATAATACTTTTTAGATCATTATACGTTTGAGTAAAAGTATTAGCACACCGACAAGAAACTTTGTTCGCATATAATATTTCATGAGAGTATAGAAATTTGTTATCGAAACATTTGATGTCGCTTTAATGTTTGAGGTAAGACAAAAATAACAAAAAGATTAAAGAAACAACATTTGAAAATAATATTGAATTTCTATAAAAAAGATCCTATGCAGAAACAATGGAAATAATATGAGAAATCTGTTTTAATGTCTATAATATTATTAAAGGATCTGAAGATAAGTCAAATTTAGATTTTTTATTCAAGTGGCCAGCTGCTTAAATTATCCGACAATGGGAAGATGTAAAACCTGAAAGTGATTTTCTTAGAAATTATTGCACTGCTAGCAAAACAATCGTAATAAAGAAATTATTTCAGATATTATACGCAGAGTATATTATTGTACTAGATTCTTTGTGTGTTGTTTAAAAAATGTGATTAAAATTTACAAAAAAAATAAATTCAATCTATTCAAATCAGAATAATAGATACAGAAATTGATTTAAATATTTACTTTTAAAGGACAATTTGAAAAAAGATGCAGTAAAGTTGAATTTTGTAGTTTGTAGTTATATTGGACAGAATAATGCTCTAACATGTATAGTGAAGAACTATTTGATGATACATTTTATGTACAATTACATATATATGATTTGAAAATGCATTCACATGACTTTGATCTGAATGGAAGCAAGAATTATCACACATGATATACTAACTAAATTAGAACTGCAAGAATTACTTTGAAGTATGCAACTATATGAAATAGTACTTTTAGTTTCAAATAAACTAAAATATCAAATCATATTTTAGTATTCATTGGAATTATTATCATTATCTTTATTAAAATTGTGCTAAATGTGAAATGGCCATAAAACACATTTTAATTAGTATTGAGGTAATATAAGATATTATTATAAACAAAACTACATAAATAAAATAATACATAGAAGCAATTTCTTCATTTAATAATGAAATATTTTATACATATATATATAAATTGTAGTACTATTTTTGTCCATAACACGACATAGAGCATAAGTTTTATGTACCTCGGTAACCAGTTGTTTGCAAGTTTCGAGCAAATTACCAGCAAATAATAATAAAATTTGTCTAAAAAACCATAGCTATCTGTTTCCGCATTAGACTTGGGATTTGCAGGTAAAGTCTGTTGACAAAATGGTAAAGCAAATTGGCAGCAAACTAGCAGCAAGTCTTGCAACATAGCTCAGGCTGACTAACCTACGTCAGTTTATAATCTAGGTTATATTGCAAGACTTGCTGTTAATTTGCTGCCAATCTCCGTGCAAGTTGTTGATAGCAGATCTTGCATCAAACTTGTAACCATGTTGAATACGTAACATTATACAAGGACAAAATGGCATTGGACAAAATTTGGCTTTGCAGTTTGGCTGATGACTGGGTAGATAGTGTTTCAATAAATTATTCAACAGCTTTATTATAACAATCTGTTTGGCGTATGATATTTAATGTATGTAATTAAAAGTTCATTAATGATAAATAAAAATAATATAACGAAAAATATTATCACAGGCGAGACGCAGAATAGACACAACATTGAATGCATTTTTGCAGCCCAATTTTTTTGGGGGTGTTAGAGCCCCATGACAGCAGACATTCGTTTATCGTATCTTTCAGGGCTGTAATTTTTAACTGTAATATTTTGGTGTCACTCTTCAATGTTACCGATGAAGCATGAATAGGGAATATTATTAGCATAAATGCTTTCCGTTCATATTACGTGTACGTAAAAAGATTTGACAGGAAAAAAAATATCCGATGCTTCGGTTCAAAGGATGAATATGACATTTATGAAATATGACGTAGGACAATATATCTTTCACTTATGTACAAGATAACTTGAAAAATTTACAAGAAACTGAAGATTACTTTAGATTCCTTTCCTTATTCTATAAATCTTTAGATTCCAATACGAGAGTTCCTGCAACTACAAAGATAGTAGGAGACCAGGATATATAGTGAGAGTGGGAAACACTTGAGTAGATTAAGATTATATTTATAAGTAACATTTAAGGTAATTGTTGTTAAATTTATACAAATACCATTGTAAATTGTTGTTACAGAAATCTGTTGAAACAGACCACTACAGTTAGTATAAGATTCTACAATGTTTATGTAGTTCTATTTAAGCCGATTCGATTAAATGAAGCTTATGTTAACTGACGTATGTTTATTGGAATATACATATATATATATATATATATATATATATATATAAAGTATAACGATATAAAAGTTGGAAAGACATATGATGTGCTACGGTAAAAGACGTTTATTCAATTCAATTGCTCACTCGCGTTTATCGTCCTACCACAGACGAGTTATGGTAACCGCATGGCGACGAAAATTGAAACTAATTCTAGTATTTTTATAAAAAGCGCGGGAAACGGCAAATCAGCAATGTCACGCCATCTGGTGTCGATGTCCAAAACTAGATTAAGAAGTTTTGAGTTAATTCCAGTCTCCGCCACCAGGTGGCAGCCATAATTTTACAGATTTTTGATTTTGCAGTTTTCACGCGCCTTTTCGGATCCAAATTCCGCGCAAAATTTTCTACACTCATCTTCTGTTCTCGTACATTTGTTGATACGAGTATTTTGCATGTACACTCTGCCTTAGCGACTTATTGTTTGCAAACTAGCGGTGTCAATATAATTAACAAATTCATATGTAAAAAGTACATTTGCTCTCAGAAAATAAAAAGGAACTACTACCACCGACTAGGTATAGGATAGACATATCATCTTATGGGACTTCGTGTGTCATGTTCTGAAATACCGATAGTGTAAAAAGTCAGGGATTTTCTACTGCCATCTACGTTATGAGAACGGTGAATTTGTGAACTACGTTAAATCTAAGAAGGGACCATGGTCGTGAACGGATTCTGTTCCGACCGTTCGCTATAAAGTAGACGTATTAGAAAGGAGTCTTGGGTTCCAATCCCGACGGTCCTATATTAGTTTTTCTTCGCGTACAAAAAAGTTATTGCGTTTAATATTGTTTTTATGGATATGTATATGTATTATTATGTACATTTGAGTAAATTATTTTATTATTCCATTGTTATTACAACAGTTTAACAGTGACAACGAA